CGACGCAAAGTCGGCTATTCAAAATTGAGTACCCAGCTCTGTCGCTCTAGTGTTAGTGTTTTTCAGAAGCCATTGTTTCAGGAATTCCAGTGGGGCTCCCGTGCTTTCGTTTCGCCATCCTGGAGGGTATGGTGGTGTGTAAATCCCTCGTGCATCGGTGCCCCTACCCTACTGAGGGTCTACTGCTGCGCTCTCGCCTGCCCCTTCAGGCTGGCCGCCGCCCGTCTCACCTCCGTCGTCGTGTCGTTTGCTCTCTCTTTGGGGACTTATCCGGCCCCACATGCGGGCCTTGCCACGTCTTGAGTCTGGAGTCTTGAGACCCTCGCTCCTCCCTGACGATGTTGTCGGATAACCCAATACTCGATATTCCCTCCCTCCCCCTCCCTCCCCCTCCCTCCCTCCCCCTCCCTCCCTCCCTCCTCCATCCCCCCTTCCTCCTTCCCCACTCCCTCCATCCCCTCTCCGTCCCGTCGCAGTCGGGGGGGAGGGGGGGGCGTCGAGGCGTGTCCGCGTCCGCGCAGGCCTCCTCGCTGGCGTCGCCGCTTCATCCGATGCTGGCCACGACGAGGTCGTCGTAGGCAGCGCGGAGCGGTGGGCCCCGGCAACCAGGCCGCGCCTCGCGGCCTGGGCCGGAGCCAGGACTCTGTCCAGGGCGGCGCCGCGAGGGCGAGAAGAGCACCGCGCGTCGCGCATCATCGCGGCCCACGAGGCGCACAGTTTCGGCGCCCGCGAGGCAAAACCAATTCGGGTGCCACTCGAGCGCTGTGTTGGCCAGGGGTCGGTCGCTCGCAGCTCCCGCTTATTACGCGCATGGCTGGCCAAGATGGGGAGGGAGAGGGCCGTTGTTCGGAAAACGCAGGGCAATTTCGGCCTCACTTTGCATGAAACTGGATGTAGAAGCAGGGGGGCTATCGCACATCATCTGCTGCGTGGCCGATGTGCAGGCAAATCTTGGATTGCAAAGGCCTTGCGGCTTGTGCCGCCGACCCTGAAGGGAGACGTCGACGACGACGGCGACGACGGCGACGGCGACGGCGACGACAAAAACAGTCCAAAACACATGGGCGATCATCAATTTTGCCCTCTTGGGGTTCCCTTGGGATTTTTTTGGGGGAAGTCGTCGGCTCCGTGGCCGGCGTGCACGGAACTCTTACATTTGCGTCTCTGACGAGGGTTGCTCGGCGATGCGAGTCTGTCAGCCAGCCGTGGTGCTCGTAAGTTGTGCTCTCGGCAGGAGTTCCACGTGTGCGTTGCCCTCTTTAGTTCGAGATGTTTCAATGCCTCTCTTCGCATCGTCTTCATCCCACCTCCTCTCCGACGACATTGACCGCTGAGCGGCGTGGAGCTGCGGTCAGAGACATTACGATACGATGTTTTTTGTGACGTGGGCCCCTATACCTCTTGACACCTTCCCTCGGCCCCGTTCTTTTACCCAGAGCTTCTTTTACTGACGGCCCCAGGGTCCGACACGGGTCTCCACAGCCATAGACCTCGAAGCATTCGGCGTGTTTTTTCCCACGACCTTTTTGTGTTGGGTACTCGTTCTGAATGTCGGCGACGAGCGAGGGGGGAAGCGAGAAGGCGCGGGCTTTTTTTCAGAAAGCTCGGACATCTCCGGGCCTTCTGAGAAGTGTTCTGATCCTTTCCAGAGAAAGCCTCTCAGAAGGCCGGACGACTTCCGAGAAGTTTCGCCGCCTTTTGAGACTGCTCTCTCCTTCTCACGTCCCCCACCGGGCTCGTTTCAGGTAATCGGCATTGCTGTCTCCACTCCTCCTTCTCGTCCTCCTCCTTCCTGCGTTATCCTCCTTCCCGCCTCCTCACTCCTTCCTCGTGCTGCCTGCTGTCGATGCTATACGCGGATCGGAATCTGAACTGTGTTTCCCTGGAGGTTGCGAGCTGCGAAACTGCTGCCGCTTTCATGAGCCGCGAGGGCTCATTTCGATTCCTCCGATTCGATCCGATTCGATTTCGATCGATTTCGATTCCGATTCGATTCAACCTCGGATTCCGATTTGGGCTTCGATTCTTTAATGGAGGCCGATTAGCCTGCCGATGTCCGCCGATTCGACTTCTCCCGACTTGGCTGCCGACTTCCGCCGATCCGATTCATTTCGATCGCCGATCCAACTTATCGATTCGATCCTGGGCTCTACAGGAATCAGCGGAGGGGGCACACCTGCGAGCTGCAACAGGGTTGCCATTTTCGTGAGCTGCGTGGAGGCCCAGCGGAGGAGGTACATCACTCGGACTCAGACTACTTCTCGCCGCCCTCTGGGGGTTACGAACTGCGAGACTGTCGCCACGTTCTTCTCTTGTATTTCATGCCGTCATGTAACATGTCGGCATTCGTAAGAATTCTTGACGCTTCGCGAGTCCCCCACCAGCCCATCAAAACACATTCACCAGGCGAGTTGCCATGATGAGGGACGTGTAGCAGCATGAGGTCCAGGAGTCAACCACATCCGTCTTCACAGTTTTTGTCGAAGGAGAAGGAGGAAGCGGGGGAGGAGATCCGGGGAGGGAGTTGCATGAGGAGGAACAGGCGGAGAAGGAGGAACAGGAGTCAGGAGGAAGCAGGAGGCGTACCAGTGATCCGCGCGGGTCACCGGTACGCCTGTGGCTCTACGACGAAGCAGACGACGACCTGGGCGACGACGACAACGACATCTTTCGCTATGGGTCTTCGAGGCTTCTTGGGGCCATCGTGAGGCCTTGTGGGAGCCATCTTGGGGACATGTTTTGCGCTTCTTGAGCTCTCTTGGGGCTCTCTTCTCTTGGGGCCTTCTTGGGGGCTTCGGGGCCATCTTGGAGGCCATCGATCGAAGGAGGGACTGTTCCAAGGAAAGCCCCCCGATCGGGGCCCTAAGACTGGCCTCTGGGGCCCCTCTTGGAGCCGTCTTGTGGTCCTGTTTGGCCCCTCGTGGGGCTCGCTTGGATCATCTTGGAGTCATCTTGAGGCCTCCAAAGCTAATCAGAAGAGACTGGGCGAGAAGACAAAGCACATGTATTCCCCTTTGGCTTTGGAAGGGTTTGGGCCTGTCTGGGGCGTCCCCGGGAGGCTCCGTGACCATTCGGAGCCGTCTTAGGGGCTGTTTTGTGGCCTCATGGTGGCATGTTGGAGGCTATCTTGAACCGTCTTGGGCTACGTTGAGCGATCTTGGAGGCCATCTTGGGCTGGGATCCTCTTGGCGCCATTTAGAGCCATCTTGGACGCTCCACCGCCTCGCGAAACGCCCCCTCCAGACCCACGGGGAGGGGGTAGGGGTCCCAGAAGGGGAGGAATGGGGTTAGCAGACGGGGCTGGAGGGGTTTGGCCCACTGCTCTGGCCACTTACTGCATGTGGTCTTGGCGCGTCGCAGGTCATCTGTTCGCGACGCGTGCGGGGCGCGCCCCTCGCGGGCGGCGCGGGGCGACGGCCGGGGTTCCGTGTTGGGGGCGGCTGGGTCGGGCGGACGGCAACGGGGGGGGGGCAGGAAGCTCGGGGGTACAGGTCCCAAGAATATGCACCACCACCACCACCACCACCTCCAGTGCTCCTCCCTCCTCTTCCTCTCCTCTTCTTCTCCTCTTTTTTCTGGGAGGGGGGGGAGGGTGAGGGAGACGGTGGTCGTGGTGTATATTTTCTAGGCCTCCCATGGGAAATCGAGCACAGCAGGAAAGTGGCCCCCGAAGGGACCCGAAATTGCCCCCCGACGCCTCCCAGATAGGGGTCAGAGCAGACGGCTCCATGTGGAGTACGAGTTCCTCCACGTTGACGTCGCCGACGCATCGTCGACGCCGCCGATGCGTCGCTGATGCACTGGTGATGCATCGACGATGCGGCGCCATCCTCCGACCCCATCTACTCGACCCCATCTGGGCTTCCGAGAGGCCTCTATCCACCCAGGGCCAGGGATCGTTGCAGGGCTCGCCTGCTGGCAACGCACGCGCCGATCCCAGGCCCAGGGGCTCGCCAGGCTCGCTGTGCGTGCGTGGCTGGCGGCCCCCAGGCCCCTCCGTTGGAGACCCCTGCTCGGAACACCGTGGTCGTTGCCGCGTGTAGGCAGCAGGCAAAGGGCCGCCTGCGTCCAGAACGGAGAGTTCATTGGCACAAGTGCGAATTTCTTGTTCTTCTGGGCGGCGTTGCCGCCAGGAGTGGCGGCACTCTTCAGGAGGAAAAAAAACACACAGACACAATTAATCGTCGAGTCCCAGGAAAATATGGGAAAATATAGGAATTGGGCGGGAAGACAAAAACCCAGAAAATATAGGAAAATATGGGGAATCCTTTTATTTGTGTGTATTTATTTGTGCGTCCCAGTTCCCCTTCAATTCTGCTCTTCACGTGAGGCACCCGCCGCCCCGTCTGAGCCAGAGCTACCCAAGGCTTGGGCAGGACCCCTGTAGTGGAAGGGCTGGCCAGTACGGGAAAAGACGTGTGTAAGTACGGACATACTGGGGACGATGACCAACAGCAGTTACTGACCATTTTGAACGGAATCTGCTGTTGGTGCCGCCGCGGACGTGGTCCACTTGAGGCAACTGTTGGGCAGGCCGCTGCCGGTCGTGGACAACGTTTGCCGCTGGGCATCGTGCCCACTTCTTCCGCACCCGCTTCGGGCACGCCAAGTAGAGGCTCCGCAGGCACGGACGGGAGCCTCACCAGGCCACCCGCAAGGGCGCGAAGATGGTTGCGCGCCGCGGCCTGGGTGCCAAAGCGGGCGCTTCTCTCGGTGGGGGCGGCGCGAGGGTGCAATGGTACGCAGATGATGACGCTGCAAGAGAAATGCAGCCTCGCAAAAAAAAAACGCGACCGGAGCCCTGGATCCCATCTTTCGGCGTCACTTCCTGAGCCGGGAGGGCCTCGGGGCCCGAAATCGGGCGAAAACGCCCGTGATGGAAAAAGGCAAAGCGAAGATCTGAGGGGGCGCGACGAGCTACGTTAGGTGACCCAGGGAGCGCGAGGCACGCACAGCCCCGGGGCGCCCCCGTGGTGGCCTCGGCAGCCGCGCCCGGCCAGGACTTCGAGCTGTGGATGCCCAAGATGAGGCGCGGCGCCGACGTGCTCGTCGCCGGCCACGACTTCTCGCCGCAGTGGCCAGGCGCCCAGGCGGTCCCGCGGCCTGCGGGCCTCGAGTATGACCGCTACGTGGTTCCTGCGAGCTGGGTGTGTGTCATAGAAGAGGAGTGCGGTAGGTTCATGCGGCGATGGCGCTCCCGCGACGCAGGCGAATGCGTTCAAGGTTGAGTTTCGTATGACAGAGCGACGCGGAAGTGCTGAGGGGCACGGTAACGCACAGGACCCGACGGCATTCACCTTGAACGATCGGGGCCGCGACTGGTCCAAGGTTGAACGATCGACGTGGTGTCAAAAATTTTGCCGCGCGTCGACGCCGCGCAAATTTACTGCAGAACCCTGAGTCCTCATAACACAATGAAGCGTGGCCTATGTCAGGATCGGAGGTGAGGGGGTGAGATCGAAGTGGAACGGAGAGCCCCCCTACCGGGAAATCGGTTTCGGTTTCGTGTTCGTGTGTGCCGTGCGTGCGGGCGAGGCGAAGCTGCGTGGGCGGGCGAGAAGAAAATCTCCTCCGGCTGAGGCGCGGCCGGACCAAATGATTCCTTTCCGGGGGCCGGTGGACCGCGGTGTCCCGCCAGTGTCCCGCCTCCGGCTGAGGCGCGGCCGGACCATATGATTCCTTTCCGGGGGCCGGTGTCCCGCGGTGTCCCGTCGGTGTCCCGATGATGATGATGATGATGATGATTATGTCGATGATGTTGATGATGTAGAAGAAGATGATGGTGATGATGATGATGATGGTGCCCCGATGATGATGATGTTGACGATGTTGTTGTTGATGATGATGATGATGATGATGATGATGTTGGTGATGATGGTGTTGGTGATGATGATGGTGCCCCGATGATGATGATGATGGTGATGATTTTGCTGATGATGATGGTGTCCCGATGATGATGATGATGCTGATGATGATGATGATGATGGTGATCATGATGATGTTGGTGATGATGGGATGATGATGAGATGATGATGATGATGATGATGATTATGATGATGATGATGATGATGACGATGGTGTCCCGATGATGATGGTGATGGTGATGATGATGGTGTCCCGATGATGACGATGATGCGGTTGATGATGATGCTGATGATGACGATGATGGTGTCCCGATGATGATGATGTTGGTGATGAGGATGATGATGAGGTGATGGTGATGATTTTGATGATGGTGGCCCGATGATGGTGATGATACTGATGCTGATGATGATGATGGTGTCCCGGTGATGATGATGTCGATAATGATGGTGACGATTATGATGGTGTCTCGATGATGATGCTGATGGTGATGATGTTGCTGATGATGATGGCGTCCCGATGATGCAGTTGATGATGTTTTTCATGATGATGATGATGACGATGGCAGGATTATGGTGGTGGTGGTGTTCCGATGCTAATGATGATGGTGTCCCGGTGATGATGGTGATGATGATGTTCATGATGATGGCGACGATGATGGTGTCCCGATGATGATGATGGTGGTGATGTTGATGGTGATGATGTTGAGGATGATGGTGATGAGGTGATGATGATGATGGCGTCCCGTTGATGATGATGAAGATGATGATGATGATGATGATGATGGTGATGATACTAATGACGTCGATGACGATGCTGTTGTTGATGATGGTGATGACGTTGATTGTGAGATTGACTGTGGTACCGGTAATGAGAGCGATAGTGAGACCGAATATGAGATCGATTGTGCGATCTATAGTGAGATCGCTTGTGAGATCGATAATCGTATCGATTGTGAGGTCGATCAAATGAAATCGATCGAGTGAGATCGATCGAGTGAGATCGATCGAGCGAGACCGATAGTGAGATCGATAGTGGGACCGATCGAATGAGACGTTGGTTCCTTCCCCCCCCCGAACCTCTTTGTCACCCGAAGGGTGGTCGTATAGGTAAAGAATGTGGGTGTTTTGTTCCCCCCATCCAAAGTGTGGTTCTTGTTTTCTCTAGACACTCCGCGCAGGAACAAGAGAACACACCTCCTCTCCTCTAGTCGCACATTCATTCACTCAATCACTGACACACATCATCACTCACACTCATTCACTCACCCACTCACACACATACACACTCACTCACCCGATCACCCACACACACACTCATCATCACTCACTCACGCACTCACTCACCTACTCACGCGTTCACTCACCAACCAATCCGCCTTCTCACTCACTCATTCACTCACGCTCTCATGATGATGATCATCATCACCATCGCCATCATCATCATCATCATCGTCATCATCATCATCTTCACTCACTCACTCACTGACTCATTCACCCACTCACTCGTCTCAGGCGGGAGCTTTGTCTGTGAGTAAATTGCGATGAAGTCTCCTGCGGGAGCCCCCTCCCTACGGGGCCCGCAGCTCATGTGAGTAATCCCATCGGAATATTGTATTTGTCGTCATTGCTTGGCCTGTGCAAGCTTGAGTATGGCGGAAGTCTCAGGCGGGAGTTTTGTCTGTGAGCGACTTGCAAAAAGTCTCAGGCGGGAGCCCCCTCCCTATGGGGCCCGCAGCTCATGTGAGTAATCCGAGCGGGTCATTGGGTCCCTGTAATTGTCGTGACTGTTGGGCTCCTGAGGTACTGAATATGGAATAAGTATCAGGCGGGAGTTTCGTCTGTGAGTGAATGGCGACGAAGTGTCAGGCGGGAGCCGCCTCCCTATGTGGCCCGCAGACCATGTCATTAGTCCTAGCGGGTAATCGGAACCCTGCAATTGTCGTCAATGTTTGGCTCCTGCGGCTTGAGGATGGAGGAAGCATCAGGTGGGAACCTCGTTTGTGAGTGAATTGCGAGGAAGTTTCATGAGGGAGCCTCCTCCTTCTGCGAGCAGAATCTCAGGCGGGAGTATCCTGCCTATGTGGCCCGCAGATCATGTTACTAGTCCGAGCGGGTCGTCGGAACTTTGTAAGTGTCGTCACTTTTGGGCCCCTGTGGCCTGAATATTCGGGAAGAATGAGGTGGGAGCCTCTTCTGTGGGTGAGTTTCGAGGAAGTCTCAGGCGGGAACCCCCTCCCTATGTGGTCCGCAGATTATGTTATTAATCCGAGCGGGTCGTCGGATCCTTGTAATTGTCGTCATTTTTGGGCTCCTGAGGCCTGAATATTTGGGAAGTATGAGCCTTTGTGATTGAGTGCGCTGGTCGTCGGCAAATTTTGTTCCTGCCATGGGGTCCGCGTGCCCGTTATTGCGTAGGACACAAGGGCGATTGATGAGCTGACGACGACGACGAAGACGACGACGAGACAGCGGCCCGGCGCAGGGGTGACCTTTTGTGTCCGGGCCGGGGGTGGTACCCCGTCCTCGGCTGAACCAGGGACAGTGGTAACACCTTGTCTCCGGGCCGCTGGTGGTAACCCATCGGCGGCCGAATCTGGCGCATGGGTAACCTCTTGTGTTCAGGACGGGGATGGTAACCCTTCCTCGGCCGAATCGGGGACAGGAGTAACCCTTCTTCTCCGAGCCGCTGGTGGTGACCCATCGGCGGCCGAATCGGGCGCAGGGGTAGCCCCTTACATCTGGGCCGGGGGTGGTAACCCATCCTCGGCCGAATCCGTTGCAGGGGTAATCCCTTGTCCCCTGGCCGCAGGTGGTAGCCCATCGATCCATCGGCGGCCGAATCGGGCGCAGGAGGGGACTCTTGGGTCTGGGCTGGGGGTGGTGATCCATCCTCGTCCGAAACGGGAGCAGGGGGGAAACCCTTGTCCCCAGGCCGCCGGTGTTAACCCATCGACGGCCGAATCGGGCGCAGGGGTAGCCCCTTGCGTCCAGGCTGGGGGTGGTAACCCATCCTCGGATGAGATTGTTGGTCCCGTGGAGTGGTTTTTGGATCCCGGGGCGTCTTCCCCGCTCGGCGCGCGGAAAACGGTATCCAGGCGAATATAGAGGTGATCGTGGAAGTGTAGGAGCAAACGGGGGGCAGCCGTTAACGTCCGAAAGAGGAGTAGGAGGGAGAAAAGGAGGACGATAGATGAGGGAGGGCAAAGGATGAAGAGGAATATGCAGATGATGGTGATGATGATGATGATGATGATGATGATGATGATGATGATGATGATGATGGTGAGAGGAAGGGGAGATTTTTCGAGCGACGACGAGTGCCTCTGGCCTCGTCAGCTGCGCGAGCCGCTGGCCGCGCAGTGTTGCAGGTTACGCATTAAAGCGGCGACGACGACGGCCAGGCCGTGACGCGGGCACGGAGTTTGCTGATGTTCGTGCCCAGCGAGCAGGAGCTCACATGGCAAAGCTCGCGGCCACACGCCGTGCGCTGCCCGGAGTTCACCATGACGCGCGCGTCCTACCTCGCCTCCAGGTTGTCGCAGGGCCAGACGCTGCGCAAGGGCGTCACCATCGACTGCGCGAGGGACGAGGACGCTGGCCTCACGGGCGCGTTGGACGACCAGTGGTGGCTGCACCTCTAACGGCATGCTCTCTCACGGCACGTGCGTGCGGAACATGTTGATCCTGCGGCCGCCGCCGCGAGAGCTCCTGGAGCGAGGACCGCCGGCATCCTTGCGGAAGGCGCTTCTGGAGTTCGACACCAGGGCGGAAAGCTCCAGGGCAGAGGCGGAACTACTCGCGGCAGGGCTGTGTTTCGTGCTTCCCCCCCCCGCCTGAACGTGGCGGCGCCCCGCTCGAAGCCCGCGGGGTTGTCCGAACGGCTTGGTCTCGCGTGTTCGCGGGATAGTCCCGACGGCTTGGCCCGCGGGGTTGCCCCGACGGCTGCGGCGCAATGCGGTAATTAGAGCTTGCGCCTGTGCTGGCCGAGGCAGCGACGGCGCCGAGGAAAATCGACATGCGCGCTCATGTCATGAAAGGGGGCGAGGTGGCGGGGGGTGGAACAAACAAAATGGCGAGGAGAGGACAGCGCAGGGGGCGGGAGGATTCCCTGCGCCAGGACGAGGAGGAAAATGACGCAGAGGAGACAGTAATAACGCCTGAACATCACGAGGGCGACGATGAGGCTTATTTCCGGACTTGCCGAACGAATTTGCACGTGGGGTCCTACCGTCGGAATAGTGTTCATACGTCTGGGAAATGGCCCCCACCCCTAATGTCCCAGGCCTCCTAACTTAGGTCCTGTATGGCTTGGCGGGGTGAGTGAGGGGCGCAACGCAGCACAAACAACAGCGCGAACGCGATCGGCAGGAGCCGCAGCCTTTACCCCGTTGGCCGGATCCCAGAACAAAAAATAAAACATCGAAGGGCCGCTCAGGGGCAACGATAGGGGGCATAGGCATAGGGGGGGCGCATTGATTTCAAATCGCCAAGTGATCGCGGATAGGCTCGATAACCCCGCTCTGCCCAGGAACGAACGGATTTGCTATCGGGAGCCTACCTCCGAAGTATCGGCGATGTATCGCCGATTCCAGATCGATGTTTCTGTTTCCCCCCTAAACCTGTCCCACCCAGGCCTCCCCAGGCCCCCTCGTGGTGTGAGAAAAAAGTCACGACGGGACGTTTGTGGCAAGGTTCGGCTTCCCGGGGCCCCCAGTCGGCTTCGGGACCGTGCAACAAAAATGATTCAGGATGGAAGCTTGTCCCCGGGAGGGGGGTGACAGCCTGTGGGTCGGGGGGCGAGTCGTGGCCACCGCTTTTCCCCGCCCACCTTGTGCCGGATCCGCTTGTCCGATGGGGCGGTGTACAAGGATCGTGCTCCCAGGGGGTATCAAGTCTGTACACGGGCCCTTCGCCGCGGTGTTGTGCCAGCCCAGCTGGTTTGGCGAACGGTCGGCACACCCAGCCAGCGCACAGGGCGCCAGCGAGGCGCCGACGGCCGCCCACCAGGCGGACAGGCGGCATGTCCACCCAGTCACTCCCAGGGGCGACGCATCGTGCGAGCGCCGTCTTGGGAGGAGCGCGGAGGTGGAGAGGGGAGCGGCCGCACCGGCAACCAGCGAGGGCGGCGGTGGCTGCGGAAAGGTCGTGCTCCCCCTTTGGGGGGTCCATGTCAGGGAAGAGTCGCGCTGTCGGGGGTCCGGGTTCCGGTTCCGCCGCCTCTGCCGCCGCCACTGCCGCAGCAGCCGCTGCAGCTCGTGCAGCAGCATCGTGGCCTCCTTCGCCGGATGCGCGCAAGGTCAGAACCGAAGTATCAGGGGACATGGATGCGCTTCAGGCAAGCAAGGTCGGACGGGGCTGGAGCAAGGAACAATTCGTGCCAGAGTGTGTCGAACGCTCTCAACGCAGGCCGGAACGCTCCGAGAAGGCCGCGGTGCCCGATACATCCTCCAGAACCGCCAGATCTCACAGATCCTCGATTTATCCTCACCCGAAGTTGTCCTCGTCCTGGCTTCGTCGTGGCGGGGGTGTCCTGCCGCGTGGGCGCCTGGCGGGACCGAGGCCTGCCCCGCGGAGGCCCCAGGTCGGAGTTGTGCTTGCCCTGGCAGAGGCCCAGGCTCGGGAGTTGCGATTCCCAGGGGAGGCCCTTGTCGGCGGCGCGTCGTGGGGGGACGTGAGAATCGAGGCAACACAACCATGGATAAAAGGCGCGTGTATTAGCGGCGGGCCCCCTTTCCATACAGAATCGGCACACTCCGTCACCAAATCGGGTGGCATTAGCGCCATTTCTCCGGAGCACCTTCCCCGATCCATGAATATGGCGACCACGCACAAGATCCACGTATCCCTAAGCCACGTTAGCGTGCGCTCTGGAGCAGGAGCAGGCCTTCTCTCAGAAGGCGGCGGGGCTTCTCAGAAGCTCCCTGGCCTTCCCAGAAGTGTTCTGTGTTTTCGGGGAAGGCTTAGACGACTTCTCAGAAGGCCCGAGGCCGTCTGAGCCTTCTGAGAAGGCCTTCCCCTTCTCGGTTCTTCCCCTTCGGCTCGCCGCCGACCTTGACTCGAAGCGCCGGCCCCGAGGGGAAGGGATGCTGAGTGGAATTGGGTGCTCACCTTGCTGTCTTCCAGGTGCCGTTTGGAGCGATTTTCCTTAAACTCACTCCACCTCTGCCTCTACTTCACCTTCGCGCCCCCCGATGGGCGTGCCTGGGTTTTTGTCCCGCCGTCTTTGTCCTCTGGGCCCTCTTTCCGTGCCCTGGGCTGGATGCGAGGGCAGCCCTCCCAGGGTTCCGAGAGGACCCCCACGGCCAGTCGAGGCTTTTCTCGGCGGCGGCGACAGCGACGGCATCCACGCCGGCGCGGGCCGAGGCCCGGCGTGGTCCAGGCGGTGCACGAGCAGAGGACTGGCGGCGGCGAGGTGTGGCTGGCCACTGACTGGATGTTCTGGTGGTTCGACCGCTTCGAGTAGGCCGTCGGCAGCGTGCAGACAGGGGCAGCGATAGGGGGGGATGGGCATAGGGGGGGATGCATCGACACGCAATCGCCCATTGATCGCCGATAGGGGCCCGATGGCCCCAACCTGCCCAGGAAGGTGCGGATTCACTATTAGGGACCTGTCGCTGATCTATCGGCGACGTATCGCCGATTCCAAGTCGATGCATCCCCCCCTATGTCAGTCCCCCCCTTCTCGTTGCCCCCCAAGACACCGTCTGTGGCTGGTCACCGACTGGATGCACTGGTTTGCTCGACCGCTTCGAGTAGGCTTCCGGCGGCGCGTAAAGACCGTCAGATCCGTGCGCCGTGGGAAAGCTCTCTGTCGTCAGAGGAGGAAGCTATAGCGATGCCTCTGCCCGTCCTTCGTCACCACGGCTGGGCAAGCCTCGGAATCTTGGTCAGAACGCACCCCAGGGTGAGGGGGGAGGTTCCGCCATACTGGGGTCCCTGTGTTTGGAAAGGCTCGCCATGAAAGGGGACGGTGGAAAAGGTTGCACCCGCGGCGACGCCGCAGTGGGCGTTCAACATTGGATTTCACAAGTTGGCTAAGCTCGACTAGTATTGAACGATCTCCGATATCGGAGAGCAGCGATTCCTCCAGGTTGGACCACCACGAAGTGTCAGAAATCAACGCCCGCGACATCGCAACGTGCATCCGCCGTGCGAATGAGGACGAACATTACAGCAGTTTGTGCTAATTTGGCACACCGTTCGATATCGGTTGGTGGCGAACGCCGTCTGCAAACTTGCAGTCGATGTTCGGCGGCGGGCGAGGAGGGGAAAGGATGCCTTCTCAGAAGGCGGCGGGGCTTCTCAGAAGGCCTCTGGCCTTCGGAGAGGCTTTCTGTCTCCCTGGGGGAAGGCCGAGGAAACTTCTCAGAGGGCCGGGGGACTTCCGAGCCTTCTGAGAAGGCCCGTCCCTTTTCAGATCCCCCCGGGGCTCGCCGCCGAGGGTTGGTTTCGGACGCCATGTGCTGTTCGGCAGCGTGGCCACTGGTGTTGGTCGCGGCTTTGGGCGTGGGGGCCCCGGGGGCCCACACACAGATCGATCCAGCTCGGGACATGCGGCTGGGGAGAGGGACGGGGTCGAGATACTTGCATCTATTTGTTTCGAATACAACCCAATGGCTGAGACGGCGCTTGTCTGGAGAAGCGCCCACAAAGGTCGTTGAGTCGGCCCCAAGACTGCGTTCGCTAAGGCGAAAGCAAGCGTCAATTCAGCTCCAACACTTCGTTCGTCAAGACGAGAGGAGCCGTCAACTCGGCCCCGACACTTTGTTCGTCAAGGCCGAGGTCGTTCTTTAACCAGCAGCTCGGCCCCGACGCTTTGTTTGTCAAGACGGAGGGGGCGGCGAGGGGGGCCGTCAAGGGGGCTCATCAATTCGGAGGGAGGCCGTCACGGGGGTTCGCCACCCCAGAGGGAGGCCGTCAAGGGGGTGCGCTAAGGGGGTTCGTCAACTTGGAGGGAGGCCGTTAAGGGTGTTCGTCAACTCGGGCCGTTCAGGGGGCTCGTCAACTCGGAAAGAGGCCGTCAAGGGGGTTCGTCAATTCGGAGTTGACGGACAACCCCTTTCACTAAGATGGAATTGGCGGCTCCAGCACTGGATAGAGTATACGTGGTCATCCGTCGTGGCGGCTAGGCCCACCTCCAGACCAGCCGCCCGCGACAGACTAAGTATTTGTCGACGACGCTTGAGCTTTGCGCGGTGCTGGATCTCTCGGGCAGGGGAGTCGGGGGGGCGGCCGTCTAAGAAGGCTCCCCCGCTTCTCAGAAGTCGTGGGGCGTGCGACGAGTGCAGTCAAAATCCATGGTAAGACTGCGCTGGTGCATCAAGGCTCATCAAGGTTACTATTGTATCCTTGCTTCTTCGGCCCATCCTGAGCCAATGCTGATGTCCAAGGAGGTCTGAATGGTAAACGGGGCGCCCAGGAGCATTGCATCGTTAGCTTGCATCCTTGCTCTTGACTTTGACTGTATGCATCCCTGCAAGATGTGGGCAAGACTTGTGTGCATATCCACTGCAGCTAGGAGATTCGTGCTCCCCCAGGAGCCCGAGGCGCGCTGCATATGCATAAATCAAGCCCCCAGAGCCTCGTCTCTTACCCATAATTACCCCTTGCGCCTCGGCCTCGTGGCACCCCTTCCGAGAAAGTCCAAGACGCATTGCACAGATGTTCGTCTTGCCCGCACAGAAGAGGGTCCCCCCCCCTCGCCCTCCGAGAAAGCCGCCCCCCTCGCCCTGTGCTCCGAACCCGTGTGCTCGCGCCGCCAAGGAAGCCGGGCGGCCGCCGCGGGCGGGCCCCCTCTGCGAGGCGCCGCGGGCAAAAGGCACGGCTGCCGCGCGCCTCTCGCTCGCAATCTCGGCCGCTTTGTGTGTGGGGGGGAGGGGGGGGGCACGGACGGGAATCTTCCTCCTCCCCTCCCCCCTCCCCCTCCTCCTCCTCCCCCTCCTCGTACTCCTCCTCCTCCTCCTCCTCCTCCTCCTCCTCCTCCTCCTCCTCCTCCTCCTCCTCCCCCTCCTCCTCCCCCTCCATCTCCCCCTCCTCTGTCAGCAGGTGCGGGGTGTATCAGCGGCAAGTTCAGACTTCAGGCTCGTTGTCGGCAGGTGCTGATGGCGCAGCGGCCACGATTCGCCGCATGCCAAAGGAGAAGGGGTACCTGGCATCGATCATCGTGGACGGGCAGTGGAGCCAGAGCCGCAAGTTCGAGTGTGGCATGGCTGTTTCCCCTGGGTGCCTTCTCTGCGAGCAGGAGGGCACGCTCTTCCATCCTCATTGCTTATGCACTGGATGACCTGACGGTCTGCAGCTGCCTGCCCACATGCGGCAGATGGTGCCTCGCCTGGACTTGCCCGAGGTTCGTGGCCTCCTCGAACGGGCGTTGTGGCCGACGCCGCGCGGGCTGCACTTGCCACCTCGCGTGCCCGACGTGTGCTGACTCGGCGCGAACGACGGCTACTTGCCGTCAGGTGGGATCTTCCTTAGTGGCTCAGCGTTCGAGGGCGACTTCAGCAGATTCACCAGTGTTGGTTAGGCGGCCGTCGCTCTACATCCTCAGGCTGACGTCTTCGCCACAGGCGTCTCGGGTGCGCTGTGAGCCGCTGGTCGACATCAACGGCGGTGAGCTGTCGGCCTTGTTAGCGGTGCTGAGGTTCGCGCTCCCGCCAGTCACCGCGGTCGTGGACAGCAACTTGTTGTACTTCGGGCTCGCCCAGTTGGGTGAGGAGCGCACGACCTCTCACGGCTATGCGTGGACCCACTTCTGGAAGAAGGTTTGGAGGCCGCTGGGGGAGTTCGGCGGGCTGTGTGCGGAGGGCCTCACAGTTCGGAGGGTGCCTGCTCACCAGGCGCGGAGTCGCATCGTCGAGGGCCGCATCTCATAAAGGGATTGTTACGGCAGCAAGTTGGCAGACCAGGTGGGGAGGAGCGCGGCCGCGCACGGCAGGCTGGGGTCTCGTGATCGGCAGCGGCTCCTCCACTCGCAGAAGACCGCAGAGGGCGTTGCGATGTGGTTGGCGGCGGTCGGCTCGGCGCTTGGCGGCCTCGGCGCGACCCATCGTCACGGCTGCGCAGGCTGAGGCGGAGTCGGTCCCGCGGCTCCCCTCCCAGCTGCGCGGTCCAGATGGGAAGATGTGGTGCTCGATCTGACGCTGGGTCGAGAGACGAGGCGAGTACCCTGGCAGCATCGACACGGCCGTCCTCGCCGCCAGTGCCGCTCTCAAGGAGAAGGGCCTGCTGCAGCACTGCGTGGTCAAGCTGCTGCCGATGAAGGAGAGCGAACTGCAGCGAGAGGTGCCGCGGCTGGCCTGCCTGCTCTGCGGGGCCACGGGGGCGGCAAGGGCGTCTTCCTTCGCTGCACCATGCGGTGCGCCCAGTGAAGCGGGCAAGGTTGCGCCGGCCAGGCTCGAGAAGCGGTCCTCGCCCGGCGCGGTCCAGATCGCCGTTGGCCCGAGGCCGCTCGACGGCGGCTGATCGGCACGGCCGCGACGGCGCCGCAGACGGCGCGGCGCTGCTGGCGAGGCTGGCGGCGTGCCCGCGGCCGCGCGGGCCCGCGCGGCGCGGGTGGCGGGGGGGTGGCCGCGGACTCGCGTTCCTTTCTGGGGCGCACTCATCAACGTGTCCCTCCTCCTCCTCCTCCTCCTCCCTCCCTCCTCCTCCTCTCCTCCTCCTCCTCCCTCCTCCTCCTCCTCCTCCTCCTCCTCCTCCTCCTCCTCCTCCTCCTCCTCGCTCCTCCTCCTCCTCCTCCCCCTACTGTTGCTGTCGCTGTCGGCATCGGTGTCCATCCAAGGACGCTGCCACTCCTCCTCCTCCTCCTCCTCCCCCATCTCCTCCTCAAGCACATGCGGCTCGAGTCTCCCTGCAGGCAGTTCGGCCGATAGCGAGCCTTGGGTCGCGCCCAGTGCCTCCGCGTGGCGCTTGAGGGGCGCGCCTCAGGGAAGAAGTTCGTCTTCATAGAATGGCCTTCGGCCCATCCCGCCACCGTGCCTTGGTGGTGGGTATGAGGCCTATTGGGTGTTGGGGGCCTGTGCGGGCCTTGTGGGCCTCTTTGGGGGCCTCTTGGGGGCCTCTTAGGGCCTCCTGGGCGCTTTTTGGGGGCCTCTTGGGGCGGAATGCTCGGATGTTGGGTTCGTGTTCCCTCTCTTGGGGCCCTCTTGGGTCGTCTTGGGCGCCTCTTGGGCCGTCTTGGGGCGTTCTTAGGCCGTCTTGGGGTCCTCTAGGAGGCTTCTTGGCACGTTTTGGGGTGGTCTTGGGGGCCTCTTGGGCCGGCTTGCGGCGTCGGAAAGCCGCAAAGGCGAGAACGCCCAAATCTATCAAACACCTGAGCAACATCAATTATACTTCCTCTTGGGAACATCTTGGGAGGCCTCTTGGATGCCTCTTGGCTCTTGGGGCGTCTTGAGGACATCTTGGGCCACCTTGAGGCCATCTTGGGCGTCTTGGCTGATAGTTGGGCGTCTCGGAGCCCTCTTGGACCGTCTTGGGAGCCTCGTGGGGCCCTCTTGGCCCGTCTTCGGGCCCTCTTGGGCCCGAGCAAGTCGTGCGGCAACATTTCCCAGAGCCCAGGGCCCAGGGGGCACGCGAGAACCCCTAGGAGATTTAGGAAATCTGCGTCTGGGCCCCTTTACGACCCCTCAGGAGTAAGGATTGAGGCTAAGAGGATTAGGCAAAGGACCTGAGGACACGCCCACTCCGTGCCCAGAGGCACGGTGGCCGATCCTGAAGGACGTTGGCGAGATCTGGGCAGAGGTGCAGTCGAGCAGTTTTCGCGGGTCAACTCGTTTTCAGATAGTTTCCTGAACGCGATAATCGGCATCCGTCGCAAAAGTTGGGGTGGTTTCAACTACAATCCCCTCGGCGTGCATGTGTTTTGTTTGGGTAGCACAGTGTCCCTTCCGCGTTCCAATGCTTAGCGTATTCAATTTTACCCAGGCCGTTGTGCATGGTGTTTAGGTGGGTTTGCTTTTCAACTGTGGCTTCGGGAATGCTGCGGGTTTAGGTATTTCAAGACTGCCTCGAATGGCGGTACCCTCAACATGTTCGTTGTGTCTCATGTTTGTTTACCCATTTCCTTTCGCATATTTGAATTCAAATGCCTGTTTGGTTATTCAGCCGCTGTCTTAGCATTTTGCACGTACGCTGGTCAGGCGGCCAATGCCCTACAATACGTGAGTATAATGCAATGTGGTCTTCTCTTGCCATCCTCTGGTGTAGGTCTCGACGGGCGCATGGTAATTATGGTTTGCTGCTTGTACGTGTCGGGAGGCAGTATGCGCATGCAGCTCTGTCGTACCGTCGTGTTTCTTCGGGTGTGTGGCGGCCTATCCTTGCAGGCGGTGCTCACGTTTGTATCTCGTTCGCGTGTCGTGTGGTTGGTGGTGTACGTTGTCAGGACGTCGTGGGGCGATCGGGGAATCCAGCACGCAGCGCTACCGCTTCGGGGAGGTATCAGCGCTCGGGCTTGTACTCGCGGCCCCCATGGAGCTCATTCAGCGGATGGCGATCATGTATGTTATCTGACTACGTCAGGGTCCCGAGTTCCCGCATTGCTTCCCCTTCTCCTCCTCCTCCTCCTCCTCCTCCTCCTCCTCCTCCTCCTCCCTCCTCCCTCCTCAGCGCTCCTTCGGAGCCACAGGCGCGGCGGCGCGGCAGTTTTTTTTAATCATTACGGCGTGCGGTCCAGAATGACGACGACCCCGCCGGGCGTTGAACTCATGTCCAGCGGGCGGGGGCGGTAGGCCCCTTCGTCGTGGGAAGGTTTCGACGTCGGAGCGCCCGCCAGTCTTCTACCTCTTGTGTTCGATATACAAGTGCGGGTCAGTGGCCAGCGTGCTGTCGGAACGATGCCCACACTTACCTGCATTTGGCGGATGTTTGATCCGTAAGATGGAGGAGAGAAGGTATGGTGCCACAGGCGATGCGAGCGTCCCTGGAATGCTCCTCTTCCGCTCTCGCCTGCCCTCTTTCTCTTATCATTCGCCGTGTTCAATGAGGCCCCCAAGTGACCCCTCTCTTGATTACTTCGGGCTCGATGCTGCCATGGGTTGCTCTCCCCCTCGCCAAGACCCGGGGGGACAGGGTGGGGGGGCGATTCCTCTACAAATGGGGAAGAAAGGGGTTGGAAGAACAACCCCCTGAACTGCTTGCGCCCATTGGGCAGGCGGGGTTCGGTTAGTTGTACAACCTGGTGGATTAAAAAATGGAGGCCGTGGGGATCGAGGAAGACACGGTCGGCCTCCCGTTGGGCCGCGGGGCCCCGGGACAATGTTGGAGTTGGGGCGGGTTTGGGAATTTCAAAATGCATCTCTCACCCCTGTTAATATTATGACGGCCAAATGGGGTCAGCGTCTGAAAATGCGATTCCGCCCGAGATCTGCGCAAAAGCGTTCAGATCGCTTTCCAGGGCGATCTGAAAATTTGCCATGGCATCTGAAAATGGCGATTTCGCGTGGGACTTCCTCATGACAAATTGTCATACCGATTTCCATGCCGATTGAGAGTGGCGATATCGCTTGAAAATTCCTCACGGAGTCTTTTCTAGCCGCTTTTCACGCCGCCAGAGAGCGGCGATGTCGTTGGGGCTGTTCTAGCAACCGCGCGTCTCGTCCACCCCTGCGGCGCCGTTTTCCGTTCGGGTCACGAGCCTATTTTGGAGTCATTTGGGGATCGGTTGAAGATCGAAAGTCGAGGTTCTATCGATATGGCGAGGCCCCAAGGGGTTGCTCCCTCGATTAGTGCCGATCACAAGTTTTTAATCCATGGGGGTGGTTACAAACAGTAACGCTAAGTGTGGGCAGTTTGCCCAGTCTCGAACGAAGTGGCGAGTGTGGGTCGCTGTAGTAGACGCAGGAGGCGCGCGCTTTTGTGGAGCAGGGGAAAACATGCAAAAGAGACGTGATTCAGCGCGCTAGCGGCGGTCATTACAAAAAAAACGCTAGGTGTGGGCAGTCTGCCCGGATTTCGAACGAAGTGTCGAGTGCGGGTCGCTGTAGTAGACGCAGGATGCGCGCTTTGTGGGGCAGGGAAAACATGCAAAAGAGACGTGATTCAGCGCGCTGGCGGAGGTGATTGCAAAGAAACGCTAGGCGTGGGCAGTCTGCCCAGATCTCGAACGAAGTGGCAAGTGTGGGTCGCTGTAGTAGACGCAGGATGCGCGCGCATTTGTGGAGCATGGAAAAACAAGCAAAAGAGACGTGATTCAGCGCGCTGGCGGCAAACAAAAACGCTAGGCGCGGGCAATCTGCCCAGATTTCGAACGAAGTGGCGAGCGCAGGTCATTGTAGTAGACGCAGGATGCGCGCTTTTGTGGGGCAGGGAAAAACATGGCCTTTTCGCCAAGCCAACAACAACAAAAACCTCTGACACCTCGCGGACCTCCCCCCGTCTAGACCCAGGGGTAGGTAGGGGGTATGGGAAGGGGTTGGACCCCTCCCCGAAGGAGAAGAAGGGACTTGGAAGAGGAAAAGTGTCTTGCCGGCCCCGCCAGGCCAACCCGAGTCTCCCGAACCCGTGTCTAAGGCCTCCCCGACAGAGGAGGGAGGCGGACGAGGTCAGATCGAGGGGAGGAACGCGATGACCAAGACCAAAATGTTGCGGGATCTTGCTGGCACCGATTCGCGAGGATGATCCACGGTCTGACGTTGACCACGATGGGCGATTACCAAGACGGACGCGGACATGGCTGCAGTTTCGGTCTTGGCCAGCCTTTCTTTCCGTCCAGTCAGGGGAAGGACTTGCGGCGTGCGTACGGTAGGTTCATGCGGTATTGGCGCGCCGGCGACGCCGGCGAAGGTGTGTGAGGTAGAATTCTGCGACGCGGAAGCACCGAGGGTCACGGTGGCACCATTGGACCCTACGGAATTCAATTTCGAACGATCGGGGCCGCGATCGGTTCAAGGGTGAACGATCGACGCGGTATCAAAAACCTTTGCACGCGAAGATGCCGCAGGAAGTTAGCATAGGGCCGTCTCTTGGCACCACTCGGACGTGTGCCTTTGATTTGGCGAGGCTAGCGCCAGGAAGTCTGGCCCATCTAGGAGCATTCTGGATCGTCTCGCGGGAAATCAACAACGCACAAAGCAGAAACAAGCACAGGGGATGGACGTCCTAGCGATTGCAATTTGGTCTCGTTTAACCATCTGAGTCGTGCTGCACGACGCTACGAAACCCCGCTCTAGAGCCTGGCGATACAGAGCCCGAGGCGTCGAGGCTGGGGCAGGATTTGCCCGCCCGTCGCCGCCAGCAGCAACCAGCAATTGAATCGCAGCTTGTCCATCGGATCTTCGCGGTTGTTCTCCATCCTTGCCTTCAAGAACACACGAGGCGCCGAGACTGAAGCCACATCTGCCCCGAAGCGCCCGCCGCGCGGCGCGCGCCCGCGCCGCACGATGGGCGCGGCAACGGTCGCCGCTGGCGCCCTGGCCGCCGCGCCCGCGCAGGCTGCCCGGCCCGCTGC